TTTTAAAACAAAAGCTTTTCTCTGAGGTGCATTCTGTTGCACTGGCAAATATGATATGCACAAACGGTTCGATAACATAATTAAACCACAAATAACTCCCTCGTTATCAGAATATTCAATTTAAATTCTTGGAGCTTAAAAAAAGAGAATTAATTTAGAGCTAAAGCAGCTTTCATGGCTGCTGTTCAGATTCAATGGTAATCTGACATCGCTTTCTTCTTTCTCTGGTGGGAGGATTGAGTTCTGCTCATAACCAATGCGAGTCAGTATAGACTGTAACTATTGATACAGGAACATTTAGAAGATTTCTATGATACAAATGAGTGTTTCCGTCTTCTAAACACGACCATTGGTTTGTGTGAATTCATTTTTGAAGCCTCGAGTTCGACTTTTTGTGCCATAGTCATCTTGTAGAAGGTGGAGCTAAGTACGAACGGAGGTTGAAGAAGACGTTCTCAGGCGACCAGAAGGTTACTACAAACTTTCATGAACTGAAAACACGCTGTGAAAGGGTTAAAGTTATAACACGGACAACTCCCTGACTGGACAACGCCGTGGTAGCAACCTGCCAATCACAAAGTAGCCCTAAAGCATAAACTCATGTTTACAATGTTTACTGAGGTAATAAATCAAGAGAGAAGTAGAGTCATTTTCTCATAGACTTCTATACAACCAGAGGAGTCGCCCCCTGCTGGTCAGTAGAGAGGATGCAGGTTTTAAGGCACGTAAACACAGACGGTGGCTGCAAACAGAAGACTGTGGTCGTACTGGCAGCTCTCTGGTGTGACTGCAAACTCGGTGATGACAGAGAGCATGCTTTACAAGTGTCACTGAAGTCCAACCTAATATCTGAGTCGTGGCCATTCTTCCACGAAGCTGGACGCGGGTCAAAGTGATGAGCTCAATCTCTCTGCAGCTCTGATCAAAAGAGAAAGCCTTTCTCATCTCAGAGCGTCCGCCTCCGGCTGAGGCGTGTTGACACTACACAGGCCAGGTGTAATGGAATTGACCTCCACCGACAAATCGGCTCACGTTTTCGCAAACAGACACATCGGCGCTTTGGGGCCGGTGCGGCACGAACTGCAAACTCAGCGGATTGTAAATAAAAGGTCTGCAGCAGCAGAGACGAGCCGTCCTCTCTTTCAGGATGTCTTTGCAGCTGCAGGACGAGCAGAGAACTGTGGACTTCTACATCCAATGTGAATACGATAGAAAAGCTACATCAGTTGTTACAGTATAGTAGTAGTAGTAGTAGTAGTAGTAGTAGTAATACTGCTGGTGGGCTGGGCTTTACTTGATCCCAGATTGTATAACATGCGAGTTAAGTCCCTTTAAAACACTGCTTTTACAGGGACTTACTTTAACTTACTTTGCTGCAGTTCCTTAGAAGTGTACTTCGGGGTGTCAGTAGACCCATTAGTGATGCTGACTGGGGTCTGGAATCCTTCAACGACGGAGGGCAGTGACAGAAACCACTTATCTTAGCATCTCCAGACTTATCTCCACAGCTCTGCAGAAAGGTCTGGCTCAGCCCATCAACAGTCTGCAACAAGAGGAAAAAAACCACTCTGGCTTGTTTGTATTTCTTTAAACTGATCACAATCATCTCGGGAAGTGACGCTAAGCACGAGATGCAGTGACGGAGCCTTCGAAAAAATAGATAAGATGGCAGATCTAGTGCTGCAGGGATGATGTATTTCTGTAGGCCAACACAGGAAGTTAGCATCGCATTGGTTCCCTCGACAAAAAGAGGGATTATTCCATTGGATTGTTTGATTATGTTTATATTTACACCTTTCGTTCAGCAAGAAATTCTTCACTAATGAACTCCGCTTTTATGATTTTTGTCGTGTAAATGTAAATTGCCAGAATAAAAAAAGCTAGCGTTTCAACTAACTGCTCCACGTTGGCATTACTTCACATCTCAACCGCTAAGCTAAAAGGCGTGATGACTCTCATTCCCATCAAACCTTTATGATTCTCAGCTGAGGTTTTGAAATATGGAGCAGGATTTTCTCCCAAACTGGATAATAAGGCCTTTAGAAGGAAAACTCCTCATTAAAAGGTAAAATATTCTTTCTGTGATTATGTCTCCCATTCCGTTTCTCACTTTCAGAGTCTTCTGATTAACGCCAGGGATTTAAAATCACACCTGGACAGCTCTGACATCTTCTATATTAGAGAAGTGACATAATGAGGAATGAAAGGTTTTGGCCCGTCAGACCACGGCTGGTCACCAACACGTGACCAGAGCGGGAATGAGGAGATAAACGACTGCAGAGCGGAAATTTAGGAGGAAACGATACGTTATTATCAGACATATATCTGCATAATATGACTTTTTTGCCCAGGCAAGACTTACCGAGCTTAAAAGCTCTTTTTAACAGTAACATGTATGTAGATGAATAGAAATAATGTTTGTTATTTTTACACTTAAGTTCATGAGAAAATACTTAGTTCTGACAGAAAACATGCTGTGTCATGATAAGTATCGTTATTGAGATATTACTTATGTCGTGATAGAAGATTTTGGAGATAACGCCAAACTGCTGATCAATAAGTCAGAGATTGTGATGCATACGTAAAACCGCTGATGACAATTTATTATAATAAACATAAATAGGTTTATTTGAAGTTCATAATGAATGAAAATACACTTTAACAACGTTTTGTTTGCTGTAGAAATGTTTGACCTGAATATGATACTTTCATCAAAACTATTGGCTTTGTTTTTTCAATCTTTTTATTTTGAATAATAAATGAAATCATTTGTTTGAAACAGATCTTCTGCAGATTTGATTTTAGAGTGCAGGTACCGCATAGGAAACTGATTTAATCATTTTACAACGTTATCACAGTAATAATCATATTATTCTCCTTTATTCTTACCTTATCTAAGCTGTATTTTACCTGCCTGGGACTGATTATACTTTAAATTACATCTAATATTATATGAGATTGAGAACACTTAACACATATCCCGAAGCTTTATGCTGCTCTGAGCTTTAAGTTCATTTGCTGATTAGTAATTAGCAACATTGGGAGAGAAAATGACTTCCTCCTAACTGCTCTAAAGGTGTTAGTTAGAAAGTCTAAATGTGGCAGCAAAGAGAAGCGAGTCTTTGATTTTGAGTTAACACCTCGGTCGATCCTCTCATCCGTCACTAATGGTGCTAATGACTAACACATCTGCATTAGTAGCGTCACCTCTCATCTCATCACAGCAGAACCTGAAGGCCTCACAGTCCTCGAGTGACCTCTGAAGGTTCAGTGGACATGTGGATCATCACAGGACGTCACAAAGCCCAGCATGTGTCTGCTAAAGTGTGTTTGTCCTGTTAGTGGACTAGCAACCGGTCCAGTCTGTATATACCCATCCCCCCAATGCATGCTGGGAGAGGCTACAGCCTCCAGCGACCCCAAACAGGATCCGTGAGTACGTGCGATAGATGGATACTGTTTCAGAGTTTCAACACGGACCACAATCTGTTGAAAAACACCCTAAAAACTGTAGCACCAAAACCCACCATTTTCAAATGTGTCCACATCAGCGTGGACGTGGCCTCCACTAACCCTGAGTTTCTAACCTCATAATAGGTTGTTTTTTTTAAGGAAGGCGCCACCGTCAGCAGGCCCGTTACGTCTGACAGAGTTTATTACGGTGAGGTGATGAGCTGCAAACCCAGACAGCAGGGGTTGTGATGGCAGACGCTTCTCCTGTCAACACTGATTAAGGTATCAGGGCTCATGTCTGAGGAGAGGGAGGGAGGGAGTCAACAGTCTGACTACAATATCCACGACTCAGTAATGTCTCAATAATGGGGATGTGGACACACGGAGAGGAAATCAGGGAAAGAGGTCAAGAGGATGGGGACGAGGAGATGAGTCCTCAACAGATGGGCTTCCTCCTGGGAGTCTCTCCAGGGAAATACAGCTTTTGATGTGATGTCAAAATCTGACGAAAGGCCGGTAGGGCCAGGAGATCCCTGATACTACGTTGGTGGGTTTGGTGGTCTGTGATGTTGGTGGGACGGGTACTGTGGTGGTTTATGTCTTTTTGTTTTGACTTTCTTTCTGCGTCACGCGCGAGTTTACCGCAAAAAATAAACAGCGAAAATGATCTTTTTACAGTATATCGAAATAAAGATACAGCAACAATATTACAACTAAAGTTCAATCTATGTTTCTGTGTCACAGACATGAAAGAAGTAAATACATATTTCCAATTCAACACTTTGTTTCAAAATAAAGCTTACTAGCGTTTTTCTGTGGACAGACTCCCTTCATTTGTTAACAAAAAGGCTTTTATTCTGAAAGATTTGCAGGACAGTGTTGTGGTAAATGCAGTGACTTGCACAACTCCATAAATGACGAGAGTGCCTGCTTTAAATTGTGGATTATGATTATTATTATCATGAAATAATGTGAAAGGCAAACTCCATGGTGAAAGGAGAAGAACTGTGGTGGTACTTTCATCACATACTAAGATGTTAGGTGAGATGGACAAATATCCCATAAATCAATATTGTGAGGAATTTAAACAGAAGGCTGCATCAGCAGTATTTCATCGGTCGGACTACATGGTGCATTGGTCCTCTCTGTCCTCTCATCGTGTGAGAAGGGACGCAAAGAAAGTGTGATTTTACAAATGAGTTGTTTTGTTTGTTGCTTTTTTTCCAGCTCGTCCAGATGTTTGGCTTCACAAATGTTCCGCCACATGTTGAGAAAATGAGCTTGACTTAATCTGCAGTCTGAAGGAAGGAGTTAAGCCATGAAATCCACAATCTGCATCATGTTATGTAATCCTCTGCCACTGATGGAGGTCTGTTATCTTTTCACACTGCTCTTTGAATTACATATTAATTGAACAATGGAGCATTGTCTCCTGGATTCCTCAAGATAAATTCTAGTGGCCAATAAAAACAGCTGCGACATAAAAGTATAAGTTTTATTTTACAGTTTAGTTATTTCCTAATCATTTTATTACAATTTCACAGCCATTTCCTGGAATTTTCCTGAAAATAAATGTAATTTAAAATGAATTACAGAGACGGCCGCCTGCACACCTGTAAATCTGCTCCTGCACATTAACAACACAGTTAGAGCAGGGAGAAAGACCGCTGTAGTGTTTCTGTTTCTTTCATTGTTTTGGTTTTCCAACCACAAACTCCACAATCTAGTTTCCAGCTGCAGCCGGACAATGATGTAAAAGACAACCCTGTGGTGAACCCGCTGTATGCTACCTGACCAGCAACAAACAGACTTTCTCCCCAGGAGGCGGTGGAGAACGAGAGCTGAAACGAGAGCGAATACTTGACAAGCGGTTGTGAGAAGCATGACCACAAATTAATGTTAAGCATCTGTTTAAAGCATCTCAAGCCCTCACAGCCTCTCACACTCATCCACTTACCAGGTGACGTCAGTAAGTCCTTGAGGGTTCAGGGTTTGAGGCTGTAGGGGGGGACACTGGGACTGGGCCTGGATTTCATCTCTCAGCTTGTTGTCTGCTGGTCCAATAGCGACATCTTGTGGCCTCTTCCATTATTACTTCCAAGTTTTTTTTCCGTGAAGGTAAAAAGGGGACCAGGAAACGGACAGCCGTTGTGCATGAATGAGGCTGTTCGGTTTGGATCTGTGAAAACGTCGACCTGACACAGAGAGGAACCCGGTCCACCTCACCGAGGGATGGGAGGCCCCCCCTGGGCCACACAGGAGAGGTAACTGCTCATGGACTGGACTTGTAGAGCGCTTTTCTAGTGAGGAAGAAGAGAAGAACAGTGTTTCTAAAGGTTAAGAGGAACAGAACATAGAGACCTACTCTTTTATTACTTCGTGGCATTGTCCAAAGACTAATCATTTTAGAGAAAACAACCTGTGGATGATTAGAATGTTTATAAACATGTCCAGGGTCAAATGCAGAGGTCAAATTTCGTGTATGTGTATATGACAATAAAAAGGGTTTCCATTTTATTATTTTAGCAGCTCATGTAAACCTCCTTGTACGTTTTGATAGTCTGTTTATAATACCATGGTTTTCTCGCTTTAAACCCAAAACGAAAATGCGCAGTTCTATTTCAGTGTCTGAATTCAAAAACGAACCAAAGTCAAATAACGAGCCGGATTTGTTTTTTGCAAATCCTTGTTTTGTTTTTTTTCTTTTGAAGAGAGACGCAGAGCACGACAGGTAACCCGGAAGTAAGCATATTTCAAAATAAAAGTCAAGGCACTAGAATGACCGTATGCAAGAAATGCTTATATATATAGTCTATGATGAAAGCATAAACCAGGGTAACATTAGAAGAAAATACATGAATGAATATAAATAAATAATCCTGGGCCGATGGGAGTGCGTTAGCAGCAGTAGTAGCAACTACATGCTGTTGACATCATTTTACATCGATACCATCTCCTCCTGCCCTGCTATTATCTGCCCTGAATATATTTTTTATTACATATCAGTCAGACACAGAGTAGGTGAACGTTCCTTACATATACAGGGTTAAAGGGGCAACATCATAGTGAAGCTGGAGGTGTTGCTCACAGTAAGAGGCCATACACACCAGGCAGGACTTGAAGGCTTTCAGCTTCCTACCAGAGCAGAAATCACAGGCCACGTCACCAGGTCCCGCATAGGAACAATCAGATGAAGCAGCTTGATGTTCTAATTCCTTCAGTTCCTCCACTAACACAGTATTTTTCATCAGGACAGGCCTCGATGTGAAGCTCTGCCTGCACTGAGGGCAGCTGTGCGTGTTCTTGTTCTCCTCATCCCAGCAGTCTTTAATACAGCTCAAGCAGTAGCTGTGGCCACATGGGATGGTCACCGGATCCTTTAGAAGATCCAGACAGATTGAACAGCTCAGTTTTTTTCCATCCCGCCAAATCCCTTGCTGTGCCATTTCTTCTCCAGACGACAGCGAGTGTCTGTAAGTTTCTCTCCAGATAAAAGCTATGTGCTCATTTCCTCAGTGTGTGTCCACTGATCTGCAGTGTGTGGAGACTCTCACAGTTGATCACATGGTGGCTACACCCATCTTTTAACTTGCAGATCTGTGAAAGGGGAGGGAACGACACACACCTGAGCTGAGTAGACTTTGATTATCTTATAACACAATTCTGTTGGACAAAAACAGATTTTTAATTCAATTTTTTTTATAAATACAATATATTACATGCATAGTATCTAATGAAAATGGCAGTAAATATAACTTTAGAATCATATTTTAAAATGTTATTAAATTATTAAAATGTCAATGTAGAGCGTTTGTTTTTAATGCACTTTTTAAAGAACAGATGTAAAAGTGCTCATTTACTTGTTTATTCACTGATCTGCAGTGAATGAGCTTTTCAGCTCACAAATTTAATCACGTTTTTTATGAAAGAGGAGGGAACAACAAATGTTGGAGCCAAATAGACTCAGAGTTTGTCAGAGCAGGAGGAGCGGGTTGTTGCTCCCAAATACTTAGGATCGGTTTAATACTGAATTTCATGTATGTACTTGTATGTGACAATTAAAATACGTTTTGTTGTGCTTTATTCCCTAGACGTGTCACATGAGGCTTTGCCCCCTGTGTCTGTGTGTCTCTGTGTGGCTCCCTCCTGATTACATTCATTCAACTCACCTGCCCAGTCCACCCAGCTGCCTTCCATCTAACCCAGTGAGCACTAACCCGGATTTCAATTTCTGGTTGAAAACGCGTTGAAATGGGGTCTGAACGTCTTAGACCTATTTTCAACCGGCTAAATTACGGTTACAATATCAACGTGTCACAAAACACCAATTGTTTTTAAAATATTGATGGTTTGTTCAGTTGTAGGTTGAAAGAGACGCGATTTTGGTTACTTTAAGGAAAGCAGGGCGCACCACTAAAGTCTGCAAGCAGCCAGCAGAGGGCGCTAATGTTACACACAACTCCGTGTGTAACATTGTCTCCGTGGGGAACTCATGATGACAAGTTGTAAATTATATTTAAAGGAGGAAATAATTTGAAAATGATATGGATTAGCAATAACTTAAATAATATAGTAATATTAGCAACCAATGGCCAGTGATGGAAAGTGGAATCATTAACTCTGTTACGTGTGCAGCAAGATGCTGGAGATGTTCTACCGGTCTGTTGTGGTCAGTGCACTGTACTTCTGTAGTCTGCTGGGGGAGCAGCATTGGAGCCGGAGACACCAACAGACTTAACAAGCTGGTCAAGAAGGCCGGCTCCATCATTGGCTGCAAACAAGACTATCTGGAAGAGGCGGTGGAGAGGAGGACACTGAAGAAACTATTATCCATGTTGGATAACCAGCACCACCCTCTCCACCACCTACTGCAGGGACAGACTGATCCAGATACAGGAGAACATTCTGCTATAAGACTCTATAATAAATCACCTCTGAACAGATCATCCTTCACATGACTACAACACCACTACACTGTCTCTGCACTACTGTTTACTTGATGTAGTTAGTTCATTTAACACTTCTATTTCATACTGTGCATTTTTTATTTTATTGTCTTTATATTTAATATGTTCTACTCTGTTATTGTATTGTATATATTGTGCATTTTTCATTCTTAATATTTTATTTTTACTCTGTTACTTCGTTTGCTGAAGTTTATCTTTGCTGCTGTTATAAACTAATTTCCCCCTGGAGATGAATAAAGTATATGATTAGTATTATTAGTTACTATTATTAAGTACAGTGATCATGTGTACTGATCCAGCTGTGATCAGCTGATCCTCCGTCATCAGAAACAGACGTCGCTTCACGTGACGCAACTGAGGAAAGGACGTCTCTTATCTCGTTTCCTCTCTCCTTGCGTGACGGCCCCTCCCTTCCTTTCCTTTAGTTTCACTTCTGAAGCCCGTGGTGTCGCAGCTTCTTCTTCTCTGCTTCTAAAGGTTAGTGAGCGACTCTTCTCACCGAGGGACTCTCGGAGGACTCTTTGGTCAAAGTCACGCGAGAAGAAGTTACAGAAATACTTGATGTTTTTCTTCAGTCAGCTGAACACATGGATTTAAAGCGAAGTTTAGTATGTGCAGTGTGACGTACTAAACTCCGCCCTAAAGCTACCGCACATCACTCCAAGGAGTACTTCCGGTCCGGATTTCAAAGTAAAGGATCGCGTGAGTTCTAGTTTTCGTTCTTTGCGATTAAAGAACAGAAGAGTGATTTAAGATCCTGTTATTTATTATTATTAAAGCTACAGTCAGATATAATATGAAGTATTTTACTGTGTACTATTTGAAACCCACATTAAAGTTAGACAAAAAATAATGAATCTTGGTCTCTGGAAGGGACTTTGACATTCGATTATTCAAAGAGTACACAGTAAAGTACTTCATATTAGTACTAACTGTAGTCTAATAATAATCAATAACAGGATCTTAAATTACTCTTCTGTTCCTTAATCACAAATAACTCACGCGATCCTTTACTTTGAATTCTGGACCGGAAGTACTCATTAGAGGGACGTGCGGTAGCTTTAGAGCGGACGATGACGTCATACTGTACATACTAAACTTAATTTAGATTAGGACCTATTGTTCTTCTAATGTTTGTTATTATTATTGATTATGATGATTGTTTTTATTATATAAAGATAAAGATTTTAAAGAGTTTGGAGAGCAGAAATGAGCTCACAATAGTTTAAAGTCATGTCAGTAGGCATCAGTATAAATGACCTGTAAAGCAGTAAACGCTGAGACTCAGGTTACATGTCACAATAAAGGATGCACACTACATTGTGACAACACATCAGTAAACATCTGCAGATGAGAGCTCACAGTGTTTCATTGAAGGGTTCAACTAACAGCCAGTTGAGCCCACTTTCCTCTCTCAGCCTCTGGATTCCTCTGCCAAAGTGTTCTACTAGATTACTGTCAGACCTCCAGGAGACACAGAGAGTTTAGAGAGCTGCTTTTACTTTGACAGTCTGTTATGTTACAAACACTGAAGCACGTTCACAGCTTACGTTTCTTCCTGTTTGTAGCTGCTTCCTGCTCTGACTGGATGTAGTAGACGTGGAAACAGAGGAACATTCCAAATGTTGAAGAGCTTTTCAAAGTCACTCAAATAGAAGTGAAAACTGACGTCATCCCCAAAGAAAGGCCAATAAAAAGCCAGATGAAGAGTCTTCCTCTAGTCCTCAAACAAGCCAACAAACAGACTGAAGAGCATTGTGAACGTCATCTCTTAGAGAGGACTCTGCAGCTCAGAGTGACAACATGGAAACTGTCCCATGAGTGTCTTTAGTATTGAGGTGAATGAGCTGTGTGTGTTTGTCATGATGAAGAGAAATAATGTTGTTGTGTTTGTGTGAAGGTGTGGACTCTGCTATGAATCAGTGTGAGGACAGAGAGGAGGGAGTCCCTCCCTCTAGAACCAGCCACACCAAAGCTCAGAGGTGAGATGACCATCTCTACCTGTCCATGACTCAAAGTCTTTCATTCACTGACTCTGATTCTACACATGTGACCAGGATCCATCAGGGCCCACACTGTCCTGGACCTGGACCTGAACCTGGACCCAGCTGTGTGTCCATGAAGAGTGACCAATCTATGGATAATTTTACAGTCTTCAAAGATGGACGCCACTCTGTTGATCAAAGGTGAGGATTTCAAACTGATGATGATGATGATGATGATGAAGTTGATGGTGATGATGATGGTGGTGGTGGTGGTGATGATGATGATGAAGTTGATGATGATGATGAGGTCAGAAGGTCACTCGGGTAAAACTCTTTTACACCACATGGTTCCTCTCTTCATCCTGATTGGACAGCATTACTCTTCAATCATCATGGTCACTTCACTGCATCACTTCCTGTCTTTGCTGCACTGAATACAGCTTCAACATCAACACTGACACATTTCTACATGAAACATTGATTTCATACTAAACTTCTCCTAAAACTACCAGAATACTAATACACTGAGTACAGTAGGTTTATTACATCACTGAATGTATCTGGTGTTTCTATCAGGAGGAAGCTGGAACAACCTGGACCTGGACCTGGACCTGAACCTGGACCGGGACCAGGACCCAGCTGTGTGTCCATGAAGAGTGACGGGTCTATGTCTTATTTTATAGACTTCAAAGATGGACGCCACTCTGTTGATCAAAGGTGAGGATTTCACAATCAAACCGTAAAATACGATTTTAAATAAATAAAATGCGTCAGGTGTAAAAATAATCCAAAAGGGTAAAAGTGAGTCTTCAGAAGAGATTTAAAGAGGAAACTGAATTTTCCAGCCTTAGATTACCAGGAAGAGAGTTCCACAGCTGAGGGGCCCCACAGAAGAGAGGAGGCCTCTCCAAGCATTACAGAAAAGAACCAGTTCAACAGATAAGACATCAACCACTCCAGCTCCACATCACTGATGCCAACACAGTTCTTTAGACGGCGGATTAAGACTTTGTGGTCCACTGTGTCAAAGGCTGAGCTGAGGTCAAGAATAATTCAAATGAGTACAGGCAGAAGGTCTTATGTGGCCTTGATCTGAGAAGTCTCAGAGTTGTGAAGAGAGTGAAAGCCAGACTGAAGATTCTCAAACATTTCACTGTTATTCATGAAAGAAATCAATGGAGTGGAAACAGTCTTTTCTAAAATCTTATAAAAACGGCAGCTGACAGATGAGTCTAAAAAGACTTAAACCTGAGGGATGTAAACGGGGCTTCTTTAAAAAGTGGTAAACAGCAGCATGTTTAGAACCAGAGAGGAGATACCAGTTGACATGGATTCAGTCTCAGAGGCAAGTGGATGGTTTTAAAGTGTAACAGTGGTTCAAAGGTTGACAGAGAGATTTCACTAAAGTGGGTTAGTGGTGAAGGTAAACAGGAGTCAACATCAGGCTCAACAAGGTCAGTATTAAAATGCTGCAGAATCTCCAGGATTTTATTTTGAAATGATTTATAAACTCCTCACATCTCTCTGGTGTTGAATCAACTGGTTGGCTAAGATCAGAGTTTATGGTTCTAAAGAGGATTGTGACTCTGCTGAGTGACCAGATTGTAGAAATATGAGTTCTTTGCTTCTTTAATGGTTTGCTGATCGGTCGACATTAGATGTTTTAGAGATGCAACTGTTTTCACTTTGGTTCTGCCTTCCTGCATTCTTTAAGTTCCTCTCATCTTCATTAAACCATGAGAGAGAAGAAGGATTCAACTTCTTACATCTGAATGGAGCTCTGGAATCTAAAATGTTTGTGCAGGAACTGTGAGACGTACCGAGGAGCTCCTCTGTAGAGAGGCCAAGTTGTTCATTGGTGTTAAAAGTTGTGCGTGATTCAGCGAAAGCAGAAGTTTAGGGGGCGGGAGTGAAGCATTGTGGGGGTTTGTGATCAAGAGAGAGGAGTGGAACCTGGATAAGCACTGCCTTGTGATCACTTAGATTCACATCATCAACACAGAAACCAACCCAGAGCACAAGGTCTAAGGTGAGTCCTCTGTCATGCCTCGATTGATTCACAAATTGTCTCAAATTAAAAGAATCTAAGAGTTTGATAAAGTCAGAGGTAAACGAGGAAGAGGAGCAGCAAACATGGATATGAAAATCACCAAGAACTCAGATATTCAAAGCAGGAGAAGCAGCCGATCCAGGGAGAGGAACGACTGAGAACATTTCTGTGAATCACTGCATTCCTCAGAGCTAGTCATAAAAAAGTGAACATTGTCGTGATAAAATCCTGGCAGATCAAAGACTTCTTGGCAAAAATCATGCGATTAATCGCGATTCAAATTTTTTATCGTTGCCCAGCACTAATCATGACAGAACACAACATCTTTAACTGATTGTTGTATTTGTGTTAATGGTACAAACACAATGTGAGCTGATTGTTCATGATTCCTCCACAGAGAGGACCAGGAGAGCTCAGAGGTTCCCAGAGGTCAGTCTGCCCAGCAGCATCAAACACACCTGGACTCCATATTTATGGTCTGTACATGTACAACTACTTTTACATCTATTGTGTTCACAATCATCTCCATGCTGCACTTTGTAGACCAGTGGATCGTCAGTCTGTCCAACATGGATCTGATGTTTGCTTCCATGGTTTTAGTTTGTGTCATTCATAGAATATTCTGTTCCAGCTGCTGGAGGAGAACATCGTCACTTTTGTGAAGAACGAGCTGAAGAAGATCCAGAAGGTTGTGAGTTCAGATTACCCAGAATGCTTAGAGAGTCAGAGGGAGGATGAGGAGGTGTTGGACGGTGAGGATGAAGAGCAGAGGAGGAGGAGCAGCAGAGAGGCATTTGTGAAGATCACAGTGAACTTCCTGAGGAGAATGAAGCAGGAGGGGTTGGCTGACTGTCTGCAGAGCAGTAAGAGGATTTCTCTAAAGATTTAACATGCTGGATAAATGGGACGTTTACTAACGTCTCAAGAGATGGACCAACATATATTCAGAAATATATTGATATATTTGTCTAATAATTTATTCATTGATGTTCTTTGTTTTCATTCAGGAAGTCATTCAGGACTTCTTGCTCCAGTTTGTCCGCGTGAACTCAAATATAACCTGAAGAAGAAGTTCCAGTGTGTGTTTGAGGGGATTGCTAAAGCAGGAAACCCAACCCTTCTGAATCAGATGTACACAGAGCTCTACATCACAGAGGGAGGGACTGCAGAGGTCAATGATGAACATGAGGTCAGACAGATTGAAACAGCATCCAGGAAACCACACAGACCAGAAACAACCATCAGACAAGACGACCTCTTTAAAGCCTCACCTGGAAGAGAGGAACCAATCAGAACAGTGATGACAAAGGGAGTGGCTGGCATTGGGAAAACAGTCTTAACACAGAAGTTCACTCTGGACTGGGCTGAAGACAAAGCCAACCAGGACATACAGTTCACATTTCCATTCACCTTCAGAGAGCTGAATGTGCTGAAAGAGAAACAGTTCAGCTTGGTGGAACTTGTTCATCACTTCTTCAGTGAAACCAAAGAAGCAGGAATCTGCAGGTTTGAAGAGTTCCTGGTTCTGTTCATCTTTGACGGTCTGGATGAGTGTCGACTTCCTCTGGACTTCCACCACAATGAGATCCTGACTGATGTTACAGAGTGCACCTCAGTGGATGTGCTGCTGACAAACCTCTTCAGGGGGAAACTGCTTCCCTCTGCTCGCCTCTGGATAACCACACGACCTGCAGCAGCCAATCAGATCCCTGCTGAGTGTGTCGACATGGTGACAGAGGTCAGAGGGTTCACTGACCCACAGAAGGAGGAGTACTTCAGGAAGAGATTCAGAGATGAGCAGCAGGCCAGCAGGATCATCTCCCACATCAAGACCTCACGAAGCCTCCACATCATGTGCCACATCCCAGTCTTCTGCTGGATCACTGCTGGAGTTCTGGAGGAGGTGTTGAAGACCAGAGAGGGAGGAGAGCTGCCCAAGACCCTGACTGAGATGTACAGCCACTTCCTGGTGGTTCAGTCCAAACTGAAGATGGTCAAGTATGATGGAGGAGCTGAGACGGATCCACACTGGAGTCTAGAGAGCAGGAAGATGACCAAGTCTCTGGGAAAACTGGCTTTTGATCAGCTGCAGAAAGGGAACCTGATCTTCTATGAATCCGACCTGACAGAGTGTGGCATTGATATCACAGCAGCCTCAGTGTACTCAGGAGTGTTCACACAGATCTTTAGAGAGGAAAGAGGACTGTACCAGGACAAGGTGTTCTGCTTCGTCCATCTGAGTGTTCAGGAGTTTCTGGCTGCTCTTCATGTCCATCTGACCTTCATCAACTCTGGAGTCAATCTGCTCTCAGAAGAACCAACAACCTCCCGTTGGTCTGAAGTCTCTAGAGGCAAACCTGAACTAACACATCTCTACCAGAGTGCTGTGGACAAGGCCTTACAGAGTCCAAATGGACACCTGGACTTGTTCCTCCGCTTCCTCCTGGGTCTTTCTCTGGAGACTAATCAGACTCTCCTACGAGGTCTGTTGACACAGACAGGAAGTAGCTCACAGACCAATCAGGAAACAGTCCAATACATCAAGAAGAAGATCAGTGAGGATGTGTCTCCAGAGAAAAGCATCAATCTGTTCCACTGTCTGAATGAACTCAATGATGGTTCTCTAGTGGAGGAGATCCAACAGTCCCTGAGTTCAGGACGTCTCTCCACAGATAAACTGTCTCCTGCTCAGTGGTCAGCTCTGGTCTTCATCTTACTGTCATCACAAAAAGATCTGGACGTGTTTGACCTGAAGAAATACTCTGCTTCAGAGGAGACTCTTCTGAGGCTGCTGCCAGTGGTCAAAGCCTCCAACAAAGCTCTGTAAGTACAGAGAGTTAGATTCATGTATCATAACTTAAATACGCTGCTATCTTTTCTACTTATTGTTTATTTCTTCTTCATCATTGTCTCTTCAGACTCAGTAGCTGCAACCTCTCAGAGAGAAGCTGTGAAGCTCTGTCCTCAGTTCTCAGCTCCCAGTCCTCTAGTCTGAGAGAGATGGACCTGAGTAACAATGACCTGCAGGATTCAGGAGTGAAGATGCTGTCTGCAGGACTGGAGAGTCCACATTGTACACTGGAGACTCTCAGGTGACCCTGTGAATTACTTTTATTGGACTAAGTACTAAGTTTAAAGTTTACACACAAACAGATTGGTGATGACAGTAATACACATAAACCTTCCAGCCCTCACAGTTCCCTCAGATCATGTGACATGTGTGTTGTTTTGTGTGTTTGCAGCCTGTCAGGCTGTCTGATCACAGAGGAAGGCTGTGCTTCTCTGGTCTCAGCTCTGAGCTCCAACCCCTCCCATCTGAGAGAGCTGGACCTGAGCTACAATCATCCAGGAGACTCAGGAGTGAAGCTGCTGTCTGATGGACTGAAGGATCCACACTGGAGACTGGAAACTCTCAGGTATGAGGAGGCCTGCTGCAGCCACAGACAATCAGTCTGATGGAGGAGGTAGAGCTGGAGACTTGTTCTCTGTCACACTGTCAGCCTGGTTAATATGACCCTGACACACCAACTAACAGATCAGCTGAATGTGTGTGACGGTGAAGAGTCGTGTGGTGGTGATGAACCCACAGAGAACTGTCTCCATCTCTGCAGCTCTACACAGCTTTTTAGCCTCTTTTAGCTCCTAAGTAAAATAATATGAGCTGATGAATAATAAGTGCTCCATGTGAACATGAATAACAAAGCTCTGTGTGTGAGAGCGATGTAATGTCCATGTCTCCATGCTGCTCTGACCCCCCTCCTCCTTTCAGGGTGGAGCCTGCTGGAGTCCGATGGTTCAGACCAGGTCTGAGGAAGTGTAAGTGTGCTTTGAGTTTGATTCATGAAAACAAAGCATCTTCAAACTGTGACATCACTCATTCACATATCTGATGTCATCATCAAACACATGATAGATTAATAACTGCAGCTGTATTGTGTCTTGTTCTCTCCATCAGATTCCTGTGAACTCACACTCGACACAAACACAGTGAACAGAAACCTCAAACTGTCTGACAACAACAGGAAGGTGACATGTGTGGAGGAGGATCAGTCATATCCTGATCATCCAGACAGGTTTGATGACTGTGTTAAGCTGCTGTGTAGAACTGGTCTGACTGGTCGCTGTTACTGGGAGGTTGAGTGGAGAGGAAGAGTTCATATATCAGTGAGTTACAGAGGAATCAGGAGGAGAGGAGACAGTGATGACTGTGTGTTTGGAGGGAATGATCAGTCCTGGAGTCTGGAGTGCTCTGATGATGATGATAGTTACTATGTCTTTCACAATAAGATGATAACATACATCTCCTCCTCCTCCTCCTTCTCCTCTTATAGAGTAGCAGTGTATGTGGACTGTCCTGCTGGCTCTCTGTCCTTCTACAGAGTCTCCTCTGACACACTGATCCACATCCACACCTTCAACAC